CTCTCTAGCCCCGTCGCTGCAAACGCTAGTGAAACGCTGGGAGCGCTAGATCGATAGCTATGCTTCCCGTGCCCTCGCTACGCTAGCGTGCGCTGGCGTAACGCTAGCGTGCGCTAGCGTACGCTGGTGACGCTGGGAACGCTAGATCGATATCTATCCTTTCCCCGACACTGCCGCTGGAAGCGCTACGCTACGCTGCCGCAAAGTATAAACGCAGCCTAAACAGGGTTCCGGTCATGTCGAGACAACTAGCCAGTAAATAATGGGGTAGTTTGTCTGTGTCGCTTCAGGTTTTCCCCAGCGACGCTTCCATAATGTTCAATCTAATCTTTTCAATTCAACCGAACTTTCTCTCAAAATTCGGTGCACCGGTGTCCAACCGTCTCACCAGAAATATCTCGGACATGTTCCAGCCATCTAAGTCCGCACGTTCCTTTTGATTCTCACACATTTATCCTGTTCCTTTGCAGGTGGCCAAAACTACGATGAAGCCGTAGCATTTATTAAACTGAAATTTGCGGAGCTCAATTTGAATCCGGATAAAAAGACTATTTACATGCACGAAACATGCGCAACTGATACCAATCAAGTAAGTTTGAGAGATAATTTTACACTCCATATCCTGGAAATACGAAGGGCGTGGCTGCATGGCGTAGAGTGCGTTTTACGTGAGACATTTCCACTTGAGACAGTTATCATCCTTCTTGTGGTGGGCAGACATGTTCGCATTTGTCTCACGACGACAATATCCCACCAGAGCTGCCACATTTGGAAGATGTACGTAGCCACGCCCTCTCCGTTTTTGGGATATAGGGTGTATTACCTTCAAAGTGACTCATAAACGTGCAAAGAATACCCTTCCAGGTACAACTCGTCATATCGAGTGTAATCGACACCATAATTCAAAAGAATCTCCAGAAGGCAGGTATGATGTGAGTGTTTCGTCAATTCAACAACGACACGCTCAAAATGCAGATATTTTCTGTACGAACGTCTTTTTTATTGTTCTCACAGATTGTCTTTAATCTATCAATAAATATTTTGTACATAATGAGTCCACCACCACAACATCACTATAGAGTCTAACAATGGAAGAACTTTATTCCATTCAACAAACAACGAAACAACAAAAGGTCAACTCTTAACAATGAAGGAACAATAAAGGGTACATCACAAGATAACGTTGGAAATTCCCACACAAAAGATAACAACTTAATCGGGGCTACTTGGGTTGGAAGGAGGTCTTCGGCTAAGCTTGCTCTTCTGCGTCCTCTAACCGAGATAGCGATATCCCCACCAATAGGCTCAACCGGTCGTACAGCGTTATTTTCGAGTGGCGACATCACATGGATTCCCTAGCTAGTTATGGTGAGCACAGAGAGACAGTCGAGACGACGCAGTGCTCCCGCATGAGTGGATTGCGTCCCAGTGCGAATGCTGTGCACATCACCTGCTTCCAAGCCCTCTTTCGTCGCGCTCGCCCCGACTTGGAAGTAATGCCGTACGCACGGCTCAGCCTTAGAAGACCAAAGTTAGCGCCCTACGTCTCGCAACCCCCTCCCGCCCCTTATGCGGTTACGTGACAACTAGAACTTTCAGTGAGGCTCTTTTGGTGGGTGTCCAGGCGCGAAAGGTCAGAGCGCACAGAAATAGTGGACTGCTACTGTCAAAGCATCGAAAAGTGCAAAAAAAATTGTCGTGGCTCTGGGAATGAGGTTTTTCCGCAGAAGGGGACTCCGGATGAATGAGCCACTTATTATGCGCGTTGGAACAGTTGGAATGGGTAACTTTAAGTAGACATAGAATGTCATGCAGACGTGGAAGCGCAGAGAAAAACAGAAAGTTGACGCGATCAAACGGATTAAGTCCAAGATGTCTGTAGACCCCCTCATCCCAACTTCACTGGCGCCTCGATTTCCAGTCAATTTGTAGAATCTGGTTTTTTATAAAAATTTGCGGATTGGACTACTTGTTCCAATTTTTTTAGGGAATGTGGCAGCCACAACAATCATAACGGTTTTCCATAACCTTTGCTCAAAACATCCAGCGATAGATTTTCATCAGATTACTTCATCTTCCTAATTAGGTGTAGATACTTGAAAATAGATCTTTTCGGATCTCGGCCATTGCCTGAAAAAAAAATGTAACCATTTTCAATCTCTACAAGTAGTCCAACCGTTCCCTATCATAGCAGATCGCCTGGTTACAGCCCTAGATTGTGCTTTTAATTGCGCTAGGCGTTGTAGAAGATATGAGACGAGTTAAATGCACGATGCATGGCTTTTCCTCACTGGTAATTCAGCATATACAAACGCATGTTTGGTAGTACCAAAGACCAGGAAAATTGCAAAGTCGCAGAGATGTCTTGGAGAAGAGAAATAAAAAAGTCAGGGAAAAGACGAGATTTCCTAATTACCACACCTGAGAGGGGCAGCTCAGACGAGAGCTCAGCAATGCGGGAATTTCATCAAAAATCATTGAACTAATTACTCTACTCAAGCAGCCTCCAGACCGCGATGCAGCGGCGGCGGGTGACGGTCCTACGTCGCTGGCAAGAGGCCGCATGGCTACATACGAATAAGCCGAACACTGAGCAGCGAGTATACAACGGCTGCCGGCCCCGTGTTTCTGGCCAAGTTATAAAGAGGGCCCAGTTGCTTACAGCAAGCGCTACGCTGTCGCCATTTTCCTATAACATGCGAGATTATTCCAACTGGATTAGCCACAACTTTCACATACCACAGAAGGAAAGAAATGAGAGTTGCTGATTTATTAGTGAAATGTACTAATATTAGGTCATCCCATTCAAACTGGCGCTACATATAGAGGAATGACAGAAAAGCAAAGGGGATAGGGAAGCGGGCTACTATACCATTTGGAGGCTAGTACCTTCAGCTGTGTATCTGTGAAATTTGGCGAACCTAGCCCAGAAGAAGTTCTCGAGAAATTGAAAAGAAGCCCGAGTGGTGAAAATCGGCGCCGGTTTTTCAAATCAGACGTCATAAGAGGAAAGTGCGCTGCTCAAATTTGACCTGCGCCGGACCATAGTTGTGTGTAAGGGTGTTCTCGAAATACACGGTGGAAGATTTGGTTCAGGAGCCCGTACAAGGAAGAAAGGAAAAAATTTGTTGTCGTGGATGGTCCCATAATATTCATCCTGCACAAGAAAAAAGGGTGGATGAAGTCAGGCACTGAATATCTGATCACAGAGCCTGGACCCTTGTCGAGCTTCCCCGCGAGTCTGACATCCCAGCTGCAACTGCTGCCCGAGTTATGTCCGATAAACTGAGGATGGTCAAGGGGGTGTGCGCATGGGTACCCAATTTTCTTATAGAAGCACGAACGCAGTACCGATTCTATATCTCTAGCAGTAATATTCTCAGCATGAGATGTCACTCGCAACTGCGAAAACGGGCCTTAAGATGAAATATGGGTGGTCTCGGACCTCGAGCCGAAACTCACAATCGTCAATTTTGTATGAATGCAGATGAGAAGCCGCCCGAGTTCTACCATGAAGAGTTACGTGGGCGCAAGTGAGATCGCATCAGTAGCACAAGCGATCTCTTACTGTGGGCTTTCCAAGGTCATGCCTTCTATACAGAGAACAAATCCGTCACTGTCGGTGCATATTGCCTGTTCCTCGGCATTCAGATCGACAAATGGATGCTACCACACAACTACAAGAAGGCCACCGTTGCTCGTCATAGTGCCAGACAATACTGAGACCTGGGTTCAATCGCCCCATTCGCCCGTCATAAAGCCATGCGATTACAACTGTTCTATTCAGTTGAGAGTACTCTCCGACGGCAGACGCTACAATGTTTTGTCATTTGCCGAAATTGGCAACAACAGCAATTTACCCACACTTGTTGAAAAATCGAAGGTACCAGAGGTCCCCTCGGGGCACTGAGGAGCGGGTCATTGGTGAAGGAGGGATTTACTCATCCTAAAGTTAAAATATCACTTTTCTATCTATTCTCCTCTTGTTTATTCAAAAAAAACAAACCAGCGGCAGTTTAAAATGGATGCCCTAGTAGTAAAGGGAGGACACCGCACAAAGAGGCGCAATTAATGGCTCAGAGTCGAATTGCGCAAATGGAGAAGTTTGTGAAAGCCAGTCGAAAGTTATACAGACCATTTGACGTCTTAATTTGTTCTTTTTTGTCAAACGACTGTCAATATGCTCTGTGGGCTGATACTAAAGTGGTGGAAAGAAACTATTTTTAGCAAGTCTGGAAAAAAACCAGAAGTGCTTCCGGAAGCAGCGATAACATTACAGTGATAAGACTTTGTAAAATTGCCGACATTTCTTAGACGGCGAGCTTCAGTTGATAAGAGACATTTTTTGTTCTGAACACCAATGTCTTGGTACGAAATTTCCGGAAATGGGAGTTATTCTAGTCATGTCACATTACGTCATAAGGAAACCGCCCAAGAGTGGTGTTTGCCAACACAACGCTCAAGTTGAGATTCAATGCTTAGCTTATAAAAATCGATGCAATTTAGTGAAGTTAGTGGACTGCTACACATCATGTTCAAATACGTTACAAGTGGACTTACAAATAAAGTTGAAAACCCTTATGTGGGAAGTGAAGCACATGCGCCAAACAGGTGAACGCCCTGCGAATCACTGGTGAATACTCAAAGGCATATTCGAGAAATGGTAAGTTGAGCAGCTTAAATACTAATGACAAGATGGCGAATAACACAAAAGTGAAGAACCTCCTACGAAACAGCATCTATGCGTGCGTAAGGCAAAGAGGGGCGTGGTTGGACGACTTCTCACTTATGTGTCTTATGGTGTCTCTTCCTCCCCCTTATCACCTCACTCTCACTATTCGTTCGAAATGGAAATAGCTGGGAGGAACAATCGCACCACCACCAGTAGCAGTTGAAAATGAGAGTGAGGCGTTGCCGCGGCCAGTGGGCGGAGCCATGGCTTCGCCGAGAGCGGGTCGCGCTTTCCCCACGTATTTGAGCTACGAAAGTAGTGCATCTCCCATGCTTGCGGATAAGATCGGTAATAGGAGGCGAACGCGGGGCGTGCCCTTAATATAAAATTCAAGACATACCTTGTAATCATCTCCGTATCTCTCAGAAAGATAGATCAACAATTCAACATCTCTGTCTGGTAGCCGCACGGTTCTCACAGAAGATTCTCGCAGAGTTCGTTGCTCAGCAGCTTCAGTTTCCAGAGTTGAGACCACTTTTATAGCCTACAAAGGTTATGTTTTAAGAACAAGCAGGAATTCAGCCCTCACAACCATACTTTCTCCTTTGTAAGGACAGCGTTTTTCTCCTGTTGCTTTTTAAGCCGTTGCTCCGCTACAGTTCCTAATGCTCGAGCTTCAGCCAGATCCATATCTTCGATGGTTACCATATCGATAATGTCGCGCTTAAACGTGCTTGAATTACTGTAAGATCGGCAAAATGCTAAGGAGTACTAAAAAACTTACATGAGGTTGCACTATCGGCACTGCCTCATTAGGATTGTACGCCAAGCCCATGGAAAGTGCATTCTCGCGAGGAGTTTTAGTGGATTCCCAGTTTTCTTTTATGACCTTTCTGAAACCAATTCCTTAATTCAATCTATCAGCGACATTGTCTATGAGGATTTTATCAGTGAAAAAACTAAGTTGAAGTGTAATGAAATCAGAGACGTGAAAAAACTGAATAGGTGCGAAGTCCCAACGTAATCCAAACTACATTTTCATTGCAGAACTCACACCGAAGAAACTCACTGGTCGTATGTTGTCGGGATAGGTCACATGTGGTAGGGGAGAAAGCGGATTGCATTCGACTTTTTAAAATTTTTTGACTGACTGATGATTTTTTGACTGGTCCTACTGTTTCATATGCTCGCTTTCGTGGGTCTGGACACACCCTCTACTGATCGCCGACGCTCTCACCTGCGCCAGAAAAATTCACTTAACGCCGTTCCCTTCAAGGCAGCAGGCAAACGAAAAAGGTTGCGCTTCATACCCACCGACGACGAGCCCCACCCCTCAGCGCAAAGTCCTCTAGGGATAACTGAATTTGAACCGGGATACTGTAGGCCCTCTCAAGACGAACTGAATCTAGGTGGGTGTGCGGAGAACGTGGAAAACTTTGAATGAAGAAACCACAAAAACTTACACAGTGCTCTGGCATTTCTTTTTGTTCTTCTCCAATGCTTTCCGTTTCTTTGCAAGATGTTTCAAATTAGGCCTGAACTTCTTTCCCTTCTTCTTAACCATACTTAATTATCCCTGGAAATAAGAAAACGGGTAGCACCGACAACATTTAACATTAAATGGGAGAAAATTGCCAAGATTTTCGGTGTAGGGGCCTTTCCCAGCTCCTCTGTGTCTCTTTCAGTCGCAAAGGCCCGAGTTTACAGCGTTGATAAAAAGGCTGCGTTCATACCTTGCGTCAGCGAACGCCAGCACTTTGACCGTTTCGAGCGTACGCCAGCGCCAGCAGCCAGGTAAGTATAGGCATCTACCGTACGTCTGCGTTTGAGCGGCTAAAAAAGTATAGGTAACGGCCTAGCGCATGCCAACATACACCATCGTCCAGCAGAAATTGAGGGCAAGTAGGAGGGTAGCAGACTGCTTCGTAAGGCATCGTGAAATTTCGGCGGTCTAATCGCGCCGTACAACTGCACTCCAGCTACTTCCCCATACTCTTCACTCCCAGTGGACGCTGGCGTACGCTGGAACGCTAGATCGACATCTACCCTTTCCTGGCCACTCGAAACCCTGCTGCATACTGGCATACACTAGATTGATACCTATAGTTTCCTAATCGCAGGCGTTGGTCTACGCTCGAAGCGCTCAGAAGCTGTCGTATGCTGACTCGAAGTATGAAAGCAGCCTCAGAGTTGCTATAGGTCTTTCTTGCCAAACACAGTCTTTATGCGACTCCTGCGGTCTCCCACTCCCCTTCCCTCCAAATACGTTTGCGCCGAAAATTTGCCTAGTTTTGCCCTTCTCGCGCGGAACTGTATTAATCTGGTGCCCTATTTCAATACGGCTGAGCATTTCGCGTTACGGAACCCGGAAAAGACATACAGAAGCATAAAAAAGTTCAGGGGAACTAGAGCCTGCTCACTGCAAGTTACGCATAAAATATCGCAAGACGCAGGTTATCTCGGGGCCCATTCAAAACCCGAACCCTCTTTGGTTCCCAAGATTGCAGCATCAAGTGCCGTCCAGTATAAAAATGGCGCAGAGGCGATACTTCCGAGTTCCAAAGGAGCGGTTGGGGTAATCCGCACGAACAGTCATACAGCCTTTTCGCTGCGGATGAGGGGTGTGTCAAGGGGGATGGGTTTGGCGCGATACTCGCCCAATTTTTTTCTCGGCGAGCGACAAGGCAGTGTCATATCGTCAGTATCGCAGTCGCTCTCCACTTGTTGTCGCTTAAACGCTTCAAAAACTGATGGAGAACGGGTCCGCTGCATGTCATACGCACTATCACTGACACGCCCCATCGTCCGCAGCCAAAGACTCTGAAAATGTCCCTTTTCACTGGAAGAGCGCCTGAATTGAGAACGAAATGGTGGGGTATCAAATAGCAACTGTACACAAATAATTCAGACCCCGTCCAAAACAGAAGGCTTAGGCTATGACAACTTTCAAATTCGGCAGATCGAAGCTTTCGTAGAAATAAAGGTTTGGGTAAACCTTTCTGGGCTCTAGCACTTCAACCACACCCGAGACATTTCAGAAATACCAGAGTAAAATTGATAGTTAGGGTAATGGACCACCGGTAGCAAATGAAACAATCAATACAAAACAGATTTATTAATGCTTCTGCATCACTAAAGCTTCAAATGTGATTATGCTTTGGTTTGTTTACAATTGATATACACCTATAATCATAAAAGCAACATGCACATTTGGTAGTATAACAATACGACTACAATTCTATGCGTAGATCATTCAAATATAATAAACAGTAAACACAAAACACAAGTTAAGCAAACAGTTAAATGGTTGGAGCAAATGGTTGGACGAAAAAGTTTCCGCGGGTGTAATTTGCATACTCTCCATAGAATGGTCATTTGTAGTGGTTCAAAGCCACCAGATAACACTGCAACCTTGAGGAATAGCTTGGCATGTCAACCCAGGACACAGAGTACGTTGGGGATTCCCAGCGAGGAGGAAGGGGGGGGGGAAGCGTATTCGATCGCTAAAGGTAGGTCATATTCTTATTCGATAAAAATATTTTTGGGTTGTGGACTTTTGCTCATTTCAGAACTGTGGTAGGTTCGGAAAGTTTAGGAATCTGGTAGGCGACGGTTCAGATGGAAAAGGAGGTCGCACCGGGGAGGGTGACTGAGGGGGCGACATATTGTGCCAAAAATTTCCCCACCGGCAGCACGCGGCATGTGTCAACTTCCATTGCTTCATAGTACCTGAGTCTTCGAAACTCTAGAAAATTAACCTAGTAATTCCAAACAGAAACCACAACCAATCATCGACTATGCTCGAATTAAGGACTATTCAATGTCACTGGATTCGAGCTTAGTCTCAGATCAGACACTTGTCGTCGATAAATAAGAACAAGGCCAAAAAAGTGAATGCTAAAAAATAATAGTTCAGCACGGAAGACTGTGTTAACCATGGAAATTACGCACATATGACGGTTCCTTAAGCCTAGAGTCGCGATTAGAGGACCTTACTTTTACTAGGAGAGGTCAGTGTCTCTCTACACATAAAAGATAGAAGGGATTTAAAAACTGTCCCACGGAAACTTTTCCGCCAACATAATATAATTACAGCTAAAATATGTATATTCCCAAATCAGATACATTGGAAGACGAAGAATACTATGAGATTTGGCACTAGACAACTTTAAATCATTCTGACAGAGTTACGGTTCTTACGGGTATTGTATAATGATATTCACGTATATACTGTTTCAATTTCGGTGGGAGGCGTAAACTAGCCACACCTGTATAGGTAGTGCGACTCACGATGACACCTCGGCAAAGCTCCTGTAAATACAAAAAAAAATCATTTTCAAAGGCATATTCCGTGCTGATCGTGTGAGCGAGAAAACCATCTTGTGTGCAAAATATCGACACATTTCGTAGTTTACGACCTCGGCGAATCGGAGACAGGGTACAGCATCGTTGGGAGAACTAATTCAGGATGTCCTGCCTGGCTGTTGTGAAGGGGTGGGGGTGTTCAGCCACTGGGTGTCCTATCTGTCCTATACTAGAAGCTTTTCCGGAACGATTTTCTGGCTGTTGACTTTTGCCAATTTTTCCCCTTTAATCGTTTCATGTGCGCTATATGCCCCTCCCCACCCTCTCCCGTTCAACGGTAGTTTTTTGGAGGAAGAAAGAGAAATTTTGGAAAGCAGGTAAATGTTATGGCAGGTAGATAGGTAGGATGGGGTCAGGGAAGTCGTACGTCGGAAAAAAGAAACTTGGGAAAGCGGTCGTCTAACACCGTCGTTTCTCTCAACTCCATGTGCTGCTGACCTGATCAGAGAGCGGGCGGAACGAAATTCGTACCATTGGGAGAATCGTGGATCGTTACTGATCAAACGCGAAAACAGAAAACAGTCATTGAATCTACCAAGTGAACTGGCCGATCCGCAGGGTAGCAGTGCCTGCCTCCACCGCTTTGAAGACGGGGCAATGGTGAAGAAACAATGGTTCTCTATCTCCACCCATTCGATTATCGCGTAATGTGTCTTTATAAAAAATGCGACTTAGAAATTATGTTCAGTAAATTAGCTATAAATCGCTACCTGAAGAGAGAACACGCGACCACGATGAAGTGGGTGAGTGAGTTGCGGTTCGAAAAAGAGGCATCTGTAGAGAAACATTGACCGCTTCAGACAAAAATAAACCTTTTTGTACACTGGGCGCTGTTTGGCTTGAGAGGGGCGGGGAGCATTTCCTAGCTCAATGTTTCTTTTACTGGTTTCTGTTAATTGACACGTCCGTGAAAGTTGCGGACTGAAGTCGGATGTAAAGGAAGCTCGTACTACTGTAGGAGTTTACAAGCTTTACAAGAGTCTACGGGTATCTATAGGAAATACTGGCAATGGTCGATAGGAAGCAGCACAACGCCCCCACCAAGCCAAACTGCGTTTATTATTGCTCTGTGTACTTACCTTGCTGGATCCTTGTATTTTTCAATCAATTTGGTTATAGTTGGCGCTGAGAATACACTCTGATCATGTATATCAAAGCTAAAGCGATGGTTTCCCTGAAATACATGATAATTTTCTTTCTACTTTCTTTGCTTTCCTTTTTTATACCTCTGACCAAAATTTTTTTAGGACATTTCGGTATGTGTCCCATGGATTCGCTATGGTGAATAAATAAAAATAAATAAGAAAATTAGTCACCCCCACTAGAAGCATATGAAAAGGGCACATGTAAGTAATCATATTTTCATGAGAAGCTCTTTGTAAGCCAATTCAGCAATCGCCAAAAGGCGGACTCCTTTTTCTTGTATGAAGAGCCCGTTGGTAAAGTAGAGTGAAGTAAAGTAAAGCTTTAATAATCGCACACGCAGCTCATAAGGGACTGTCAAGGGTGCAGAGTGTCTCCAGACCCACAGAGATTCCACCCTTAGTAGCGGACCCGCCCAGAGGAAAAGCCATGCGTTGTTCTCGTCGTCCAACCATTCATTCTTCCCCAGCCTTTCGCCACTGGTCTGTCGCCCGCGGCAACATTGACTCCTTGTATCCCACATCCTTGCCTACCATTCCATTGCTCAAAAACACCTTCGCAAAAGGACCTTATCCATTGAGTTTTCCACGGTTTTACTCAATTTTTCCAGCAGATGTAAGTCAAACATCGTCGAGAAATTCAAAGTCGCACCAAATGAACCTCAACTTGTAACCGCGGAACGTGTCCTTAACCCAACACTCTTACATTACAGTAACTCACCTGCTCGATCCTTGCATGCAAAGTGCGTTGATAACGACGAAAGGAGACCGAAAACAAGTATTCGGTCTGAGCACTATCACGAAGAAGAAACGTCCCTGAGAACAGAAGGTATAACAGCCCACTGGCACTTGCAAACCGCAGAAGTTCAGGATAATACAGACCTTCAGGCTTCCCTTCCAATAATTCCTCAGCTTGGAAACGATCCATTACTCCCCAATAATAGCTCGAATTGAGGATTCTATCGATATCCGGAACGAGATGATGTGAATATTCAACAATGCGATGAACAGTAGGGCTTTGTTCATCGGGCAGTACTGAAAAAGTAATTGTTACTGTATCAAAGGGTTCTCGCTAGTTTTTGTCAGAGAATTCTCGAATAGGGTTCGAACCCTCCTCAATGGGATCAGATGGGGAAAAAGAGTGGAGTTGAAATATGGTCCTAGAAATGGCCGGGGATCATGCTGTATTCTCTGGTTGCGCAACCCAACCTTTCTCATCTAAATCTAGGATCCACCCAAAAGTAGCAATTAGCAAAATCAGAATTAACACCAAAACGAACACGATCGTCGAGCTATTGCAGGTCCTGCCAATTGATTAGCGGCTTCGCCCACTATTGCAAGGCGCTGTCGGACCATTTCGGCCACAGAACTGCTCCAACTTCTCCCAACATTTTGAGCTCCGTTGTCTTCATCCGTGTCAGAATCACTCACTGTTGGCGAAAAGCATGGACAAAACGGTGTGACCCGAGATCTGTAACTACGAAAAATTGTAATTCAGGTTTCAAACGTCACAAAAACAACTTAATATAATAAAAAAGGGAAGGGCAAAATAATATGCATAGAGCGTCCATTTACGATTACGCAGTGTCTATACCATTCCGCAAGACATGTATCAAGACTTATTAATCGTGAACGGCGGCGCTAAGGTTGAACCTGCTCCTCCACGCTGTTCGGCTTAGGGGCGAAGTAAGGGTGGGAGTGGGAAGGAAAAGGGCATTTTTCACTTCCGATTTCTGTTCTGTTGAATTACACGTTTCTCAGCCGCAGCCCGCCTCAACATTTGAACTGCCGTGCCCTCTTAGCCCCATATACGAAAGAAATTGTAGCGTAGCAGGGTATCCTTACTTGCTGGGCCAAGAAGATGACCGAGTGACGTGTAGCGACCTAACGCCTATGTGAGTCGTAAAGCGAAGCTTTTCCTTGTCAATTATGCATTCCACAGCTAAGTTCTGAAAATTTGTAGCACTTCACATGGCTGGGAGGATGAAATCCCATCTCGGACACCTGCTTTCGAACCTGATTCAGTAAATCTACCAGAGGATAAATGCGTTTTCAACGCTTATTATGCAAAGCCCTAGTATCAAACAATCCCGATGCAACGCCAAAATGACCTCGACCTGTTATTGGCATTAATGTGGGGGGGATAGTTAGTGTCCGATAGCGCTAGATCCGAACAAACACTTTCCACACAAAAGTGATATTTAGTTTGATTTAACTGCTGTTGTTAGCATTTTCAATTAGAGCCCCAAATGACAGCGCAAAGATACCGTGTCATGCCAAATGGTCGGCCTATGACGAAAGCCAACTATCGCTTAGTTTTGCGATGCCATGCTGATCCACCGCATTGGCGAAACTCCCAGACCCACAGACTCACATCATTTTTCCATAGGTAAAATCACCAAAGCTAAGCAGTTCCACACGTATTGCGTGATGAGCTAAATCGCCGAGGAATGCATAAGTGCTGATAAGCCACGGTAAATATATAACTCAAGGGTTGGGCAAAACGCACGGGGTCTCAGCGTAAACAACGAAGGGGTGCACGGTATTCGTGGCATATGTGTGGGTCACATTTGCCACTGAGGCCGAAACTTTCGGGAACAACTTCGCACGCACAGGATAAGAACATTGAGAAAAATTGGTGAAAGTAAAAGTTTCAACGACATCAGCTTGCTTCTAATCGGTGATCGGTTGAAAGTTTACCCTCCTTTGTACAGAAACTGCTCTTACTAATAGAGAAATAAAAAGGATAAAGCTCTGGACGTTGAACCTTACCTTTTTGGGGAGGCACGCATTGTACTTAAATTCAGAATCGTAGTGGATTATTGAATGCGATGTGGCCTATACAATGACTTGCGGGGCCAGCCGATGTGAAAGTAGTGTTATTATCCTCCCAGACGAATCCGGTACCAATTTAGCGCCCCATAGAACAGATGTCGGGATTTGACCCCCCCTCCCCGACCTAGTGCATAGTAAGTGTACCACTTGGCACCAGCTTTGCCCCGGTAGAGATAAGATCACAAAAAACATTATTGCAAATTATTCTGCGATAGTTGTCTCATATTAGCTCGTTATTTTCTGATGAACACCCTAGACATCAGCATACGACTCGATTGAGTATAAAAGTGGGAAAAGTACAACTTGATCGAAGCATATTCTAAGAAGAAGACAAAATAACATACCTGTTCCTAGTGCGATTTGACGGACCAGCTACAGCACGCCCTTGATGAGCATTTACATTCATGTTTAACTCTGAAACAGAAGTGTCAACATTGCAAAGAAAACATATCCTTCTTAATCCGCTCAAGAAGCTCCCGTTACAATGAGGCGAGTGGAAGCGAGAATTCCTTCAGGGTGCTATTTCAGGACAAATCTTAATGCTATCCAGAAAAGATTAATGATCAGTCCGGCCATATATGATGTGGTGAACGCGCCTTGAGGCGCTGAGCTCAAATTGAGTTCCAGAACATGCGAAATGATTCTGTGAAAGAACGGAGGTCGTTCTCCCAAGAAAGCAGTGTACTGATGGATCCTCACTTGAGATCCATCACTACTTTTCTGTTCGCATTAGCGCAGGCCTATGCACAGGATCCCCTAAAAATCGTAGCAAGAAATTGTGCCAGTTCTTGTGGAAGGTGTTAGCGAAGTGAAGACCACCATTTGAAAAAGACCTAACCTACTTCAGAAAACCGTCTCAGGAATTCTGAAAGCATATTCGGGCTCATGTCGCAAGGCGAGTTCACTACAACATTCACATACCATTGTTGATAGAAACTACCTATCAAACTTCTCAGCAAGTTAAATTCAATACCAGCGATAATCGGGCAAACTTTAGTAGCTGAATATTCAGTCCTATCGACTGAACTCTTAACATTCTCACGAAAATGAACACATGGTTAGAATGAAGCTGACATTGCTGGAATACAGGTCCAGATCACCAGGGCGAATGAAGGTAATGAAAAATAAGTACTGCTGCGGAGAGAAGAATAAACTAGTGGCAATTGAACTGATACTTGAACTGATGTGTGTCAGTTTGTGTACAGTCTCAATCTAGTTAGCTCTCTTAAACCCGCACTCCCAGTGATGAGTCATCCACCACTTCAGAAGAAGTTTATAAAAACAGTTCGGAGAATGAATAAAGTACTGTGTACACACGCAATTTAATCGTTTTCTCAAAGTACATTCTTAATCATTTGTCAGTGGCCTTTGAACTGCAGAGTCAAAAAAGCTGGAATGAATTGACTCAAGATGAAAGAGCTTAGGGTGAAAGCAAACAGGTGTCAAGAGGCGAAGAAACCTCACAGGAGATCAAGAAGAGCTCATGTCCAAATTTCGCAATAAAGCTGTTGAGATATTGCCTTGTGACGAATGCTAACTGAAGCCTCGAACGCCTACTGGGACTACGACACATCATCCTCGAGGAACCTACGACCCTTACGAACGGGTTACATTCGAGTCGCTGAAGAGATAGAATCGTATTTGTCTTGACAACCTACTGGGAGGACTTGCTGGACTTTATCAATGCTAACAAAAAATTTTTCCTTCTCCTCGACTGGACTAACGAGGGAAGGCTGGTAAGTCGAAGTGACCATCTGGAATGAGATGGATACCGACTAAGGATCTTTGGACGGGGATTACGAAAGCGCCCTCCCCCACCCCACATTTGTTGCGGACCTCTCAGAACAAACCAACGGAGCATTTTTAGGGGAAGCACACTTGCACACAAAACCAGTAAGGTTCGTTAGACTATCTCGTTCGTGGCAGTTGTCGAGTGGTTTACGTCGTAGGTCTCACGAAGGCAGGTTAAGGGTTTTCTAGAACAATATACTTCGAAAATGTTGTTTGTGCACTCAGAAGCATTTGTGCATAGCTCTTGTGCTTCAGATTGCCATGACGTTTTGAAGGAACGGAGCCAATTTTGACGATTCCACGGAGAACTTTTGCGCTGGTGACTTCTTTCTGGCCTTCATTGCTTCAATAAACTTATTGCTCCAACAAGACTACAATTTCCAATGAATGTTCTGCCTAAAAAATGGCTTGACTCTCCAAACGACATGCTGAAAGCAAGCGAAGCTGTGCGCGAATATCAGCCCACTTTGGAGAGGAAATCAACAGCCAAAAGTATTTTCGTGCAATTCCACGAATGGCTCTGATAGTTAAATCACTATGTCACGACATTGTCAACGCAAATATGCGTAAAGATGCTTTGCGATGTCACACAATGCAGAATAGCACGCAGAACAGCAAGAGTTCAAACCCTCAACCGTAAATTCGTGAGTCCCGCCACGTAACCATTCGACCCCGTCGCAACGAACGTGGTAGCCTTACAGCCATTGTTCGAAGTAAAAGGTTAGTATGCCCCCCCCTAAAAAATCTCCGCAATCTCGTTGTGGGAGGTCCGCAGTAGATATGGAAGACGCTTTCGTGATCCCCGTCAGAAGACTCCTCACCGGCATACATTTCATTTGAAATGACCACTTCGACTCACCATCCTTCCCTTGTAGACAGTCGCAGTTGAAACTCAATGTTACTGAGTAAGGGAGTCGTGCAAAGAGACCGGTACTGCTCACAGTGACGTGCTCTTAGTCAGACTATCTCAGCTTCCTTCAATGCCGAAAGTAAGGTCCCCGAAGTTCCAAACCAAATGGCTCCAAGGCCATAAAATGACTCGAAGAGCATTTCGTTGGCTAACTGACTGTGCGTAGGGTTTCGCTAGACGGTAGCGATGAAATATAGGGCGACTGAGAACTTCACAAATGCCTTATGGCGCTGTTTATCGACCGGGGGGGGGCATTTTGTATTATAATTGCTTCCCTGGTTCCGGTTTACAAAGCCTCACTCTTATAGAACAAAAAAATTATGAACGCCTTGTGAAGCTGGAGCAAGTTCTAGCCACCATCCGAAAACGTGTCAACTCGAAAAAAGGGGTACCTAGATGGATTGGCAAATCTATGAAAAGCAGAATTCCCTCCCGTCGTTTAAGTCAGTGCCTGCCTGATTGTTGGTCGACCAGACAATCCGCCCAACAACCTAGTGGCAGAAGCATGATAATATAGCAGCATAGGAAGGAAGGCACTAACACCTACCGAAAACACATTAAGCGTATCATGCCTAAGACATCGAAAAATTTAAACCAAAGCCTGTTTAAAGTTGAGCTGTGAAAGAAATGGGAAGGACGAGGAGAATTCCAGAAAGGCCTCAGATAAGCTGGGACTGTAAGAAATTTTACTGGGAGAAAGCCACTTTAGGGAGGTAAAAGTCTTGTAAGTTTAGGAAAAGGTACGACTCTCCCGCGATTTGCTATCTGTAAAAATGGTACGGAAGCTAACCTCAATCGAATAAGCGTACGGTCCGAAGTGCTCTATCTGGGGAATAAGCAACTAGTATAAACTCAAAGGATGAACAGCTGAACAAAACATTTTCACTTTCACTGTTTCGAGTAAACTTAAAATATCAAGCAGAACACACAGGAACTGTGCACACCCACGAGGATCTCATAAACGGAAATAAATAGTGCACTGATAAAAATCATTGCGCTCTATTTGTATGGACGAAATAGGACTGAATCGAAATTCAAAGATTCAAGTGTCTGTGAACGAAAATCCACAGCGATAAAAAGCCTTTCAAACAAATGAGCTGATAAGGCGCAGAATGGAAGAAACGGAAGCGAGCGCCCACAGATAGCATTGATCGGGAAGATACGCTTAACAAGAGACTCTGAGACGCTCACTAGACGACAACATGACCTACAACTAGAGACCAAACAATGTGGATACAAATATGGGACGTGCACAGAATTCTTAAAACCATTTGCATGTATCAGAAGCCCTTTTAAGTTCTTGAAGACCAATTCACTCCGACTAAGCTCTCACTCCGATTCAGTCCTCACCTAATCAGGGCTAAATCATAATAAACATTTCCAAGGTTCCGGGCTGATTACAGTTCTGTCTGTTGAAGTGGGTACTCTCTCCTCTCGTCGCTCCATTATAAACCCACTATAATGTTACATAAATTTCGTAACCTGGTCATGGTATGTAATTCCAATATCTTCAGTGACCATCACCCAGGCTGACGAGAAGCACGTCAAAAAATTGAACGCCATGTGGCAAACGTAATCGCTGACTACATCACCATAACTTATTTTGAATCATTCTGTAGGGAAGGGGTAAGTCGAACTTCAGTGCATGTCGAACTTATTGTACACTGACCTTTCTCTTTTATCGGAATTCCAGATTGGACACCAGTTCCGAGAAAAGGGGGCGGGCTGAGAAGAATTCGGCTCTATCTGCACTTCGAACGTGTGTAGCATTCAGTGGAGCTCGTGAAAATCCTGTGAAGCTACGAAAGGATGAGACTACTTGTCAACTATTGTGAATACCATACAAATACACTTTACCATGGTGGCTTGACAGGCTTGCTCCAACTTTACAAGTGTTCACCAGTTTTACCAGAGTGAGACTTGTAAACCGAAACTAGTGAAGCCAGAAAAAGGGGCGCGCGAGCCCCCCCCCCCCCCCCCGGCCACCCATAGCCGAACTGCGCCGAATGCACCCACCGCTTGCATAAAGCTTACATACTTGAACTCCATTATAAGAATGACACTGTAATCATTTTAAACGGAGTCAATTATTCTACCACGAGAAATGTCCCCCAAATTAACGACTTAATAGTTCACAGTAATTTAAGTAGATCGAGCGTAAGGTTAGAGGGAAGCCAGAGGAAAGGCACAGAGCGAACACCAATCAACAAAGCATGACAAGACGATGCAGGCTTTTCGTAATAAAGGTTGTAACAGATGTCGCAAGCAATAGAGAATCCCGTGATTATAATGAAAATCAGCCCAAATATTCTCTGTTTAAAAATCCGCGGGACGACACATCCTTTTCTTAATCTCGCCAATGTCCTCTGAAATCCAGACTATCCAGTTCGCGAACGGTCCACCTGCATCCATTTGCTAAGAAAATTCTTCGCGGTAGCATGCATTTGTTCCTCTTTAACGATTTGTTCTGTGTTGTATTAGCATAACAGTCTGTCTGATCTGAACAAGGGCCTGGGGCCGAGGCGTCACCAGTAAAAGATTGGAACACAAGAGCTGTCATTGCATATACTATAAATAAGAGTTATTTACTAAATCAAGCCAGCTTTTGTCAAACCACGGCGATCCAGTTTCCATTTGAGAGTGGAAGCCGAGCTAGTTTTCCGCCTCTTCCCCACAAAACTTTTAAACATCTAACCATTAAGGTGGTGAGCGAGGTATTGACCAGACTCCATCAAAGAATTACTATTGAAGTAAAAAAGTCTAAGAAAGTGCTCTTACTGACAAACCTCGATCGGGCGTATTTTCGACAAATTCGGGCAATGACGGTTGAGCTGCATCTCCTTCTGGGATTACATTTGACGGAAGAAATGGCGGCGATGAAGTTGAACCATTTCCGCCAGAGCTAAAGATGTATGAAAGTGCCTGAGTTGAACAAATATATATAAGAGATCGAAAAATTTTAGAATAAACTTTTTGCCGCTGATCAACTCTTTTGTGGGCACGCACTCT